ATTGCCCACAAAAACGCCCACCCACGCCGCCCCACGCCACTAAATCTTTTTCAAAACCGTTCAACAAAGTGAATGGTATCTTTCTTCCTTAAAATCAGATCGGATCCGTGTTCTCTATCCTTGATCTATTGGGTAAAACTTTCACTCTCTAACTCTTATGTTTTTTTTAATTAGATAATTGTTATAAATTTTTAGTTAAATTTTGTTATTTGTTAGTTTATTAATTGTTTGAATGTTGTTAATTATCTTGTTATGTTAAGTTGTATGTAGTAGTTTAAATTTGTTAGTTGTTATTTTATTTTTATAACTCGTTAGATTAATTTTGTTAAGTTTTATTTTGTTGTTATGTTAATTATTCGGTTAATTTGTATGTTAACGTAAACCTTAAAAATTTAAATTTTGTTAATTTTTAGTTTTTAGATTAAAATTCAATTATTTAATCTTAGATTGTTATTTTAATTAAGCGAATTAATTATATATTTATTTGTTTTTAGTGTTAGATTAATTTGGTTAGTTGTTTGTTTAAACTTAATTTTGAAATTATATAATTTTGCTATAGTTTAGTTAAATTTAGCTGAAATTATATAATTTTGACATAGTGTAGTCATTTCGAATGTAAATTTTATAAGTAATTTTGTTAGTTTAATTATTAAAATTGAAATAAAATAACACGCATAATGATTTAATCGTTCCTTCCACTCGATCCTCCAGTCGAGCCCTCCACACGATATGAAGATGAGGATATGGGATTAGATGAGCAAGATGAGTGATATAATATTCGATCCCTTTGTTTGTTTTGTTGTTTTTTATGGAATGTATTATAGAATGATTTTGTTAATATTATTTTATTTTTCATATATACATGATTATTTATAATTATTTATTATTAAATATTAATTATTAAATGTCATGTTAATAATTTAATTTTAAAAAATGTCAACAAAAGCGACGAATTATGGAAAAAATTTTTTTGAAATGAGCGATGGAATAGCGATAGATTGATGACAATTTCGTTTTTCAAAATTAGCGACAGATTTATTTTCAAAATTAAGGATGGAATAGTGATGGATTAGCTACGAAAAAAAGAGCGATCCTACGACAAGATTAGTGACGGATTTTTTTTTGTTTAGCGACGGATTGTCCGTCACTAAATTTAGCGACGTAATATGGTCCGTTGCAATTCACAATTAGCGACGGAATTTGAGCATTTAGCGATGAAATATTCCGTCGCTAAACTCAATTTTTTTTGTAGTGTAAAGTAATTAATGTTCATGAAATGAGACTTATATTATCTTCTCCTAATTTAATCCAAAAAATATCATACAAATAAATAAAAAAAGCCAAAAAATATGTATGATGATGAACATTAGTAATCTCCTAAATTCTAATATATTGATTTAAAAAAAAAAAAACATCAGCAGTAGTACTAGTTTTTAATCAATTGAAACTTAACACTTTTATCAAGAAATTAAATTAAATTACGTAATGAATGTATAACATATTTTGATTCATTAATTAAATAGAAAATGGGCATGCAAAAAATAAAAACATACATATCTTGAAAAATAATAGTTTCCTTTAAGCCATGGATAATTATTTATTTACCAAACTCAAAATAATATTTTCTTACCAAAACACTTAATAGTTAATTGGTATTAAATAAAGGGTTAACTATTGGGTATTTTGGTAAAAAAAATACTGTTTGGAATTTGAGAGATTTCAAATAAATTGATGGATTTTTTAGATAGAAGAACTTTTCAAAAGTTTTTTTTTTTTTTTTTACAGTAATTATCCCTATTTTTCTTTTTTTTAATTGGATGTTAAGGGATAGTCTTGAGTCAATTGTGTATTAATCAATATGAATTTTTTTCTTCAAACAATCTTAAACATATATATATATAGGAACAAACATCTTTAACCATCATGTCAATCTCTTAATGTTAAATGTCAATTCAATAAAGACGAAATTAGTTGAATTAATGAAATACGATAGTGTCAAAACCTTAACGAATAGAAAGCAAGTAATTTCATAGGGGTTAATGCTTGCAGGAATCTCTTTACTCTTGATTTCATCTTTGAAAAGTCATTCTATTATTTTTTGTTTTAATCTCATCTCTCGATGTTTGGTTGATTAGCGATCATAGAGTATGAACGAAGCTTCTTTTTTTCACTATGTACCTACAAAACAAGTCCTTATGGTTGGGTGAGAGACCCTTTGACACTCAAGTTCGTAGTCGAAAGGTGGTGAATTAGCTTGAAGAGACTCTACTGTGATAGTATGTACTAGCACAATTTGTTGTGTGATTTAGTTGAAGAAAAGAAATTGTACAACATGAAACTGTTTGAAGAGTGTTTTTAAATAGGTAACTATAAGAGTAACTTGCATGGTGAAAAAAAAACAGAAATATTATTTCTTTTTCAGTTAGTGGGAGAGTTGATAAATTAATGTTAATGTTCTACTGTCATTGTATTTGATTTTCCAATGGCGTTAGTGCCATCATGGTGAGTGGAGATATAATTGATTTCATCATTAGAGATTTTTTATTAAATGTTTTGTTTTCGAGTGAGAGTAAAGGAGTGTGATGTCTTCTTGTTTCCAACCAGAGCGCTTTGGGTAGGAGGATTTCAAAGTCTTTCTTGAAAGGAAGGGGTGGCCGTTCTTAGAAGGAGTAGACTTCATTTGAGGAGCTTTGGACCCATTTAATAGTTCAATTCCTCTTGGTGAGTTATGGATCTTGGTGAGGCCTGATGAATTAGACCTTTGTTGTCGAGCTATGTTGGAAAAACTTCCCATATATATATGTTAAAATCTACAAGAAATTCAAGTCAGCTTATAGGAATGATGTTTACAAGTGATTTTAATTGTGATTTTATTTTGATTTATTTAAAATGATATATTTTATAGGAATGATGCTTATAGGTGACCAAATTGTCTACAAGAAGTCAACTTATATGTCGAGAACAAACCTTTAATTCAAGTTATACTACCCTTTTCTTTTTCTTTTTATGGTCTTTTTTTATCTTTTTTTTTTTAATATATTACAAATTACAACAAATTACAGATTCAAATTTGAGAGCTCTTGATAGAAAAACGACAATAATACAAGGTGAATTGCACCTTATTGCTCAAGTCATACTCCTTTGCTTGTAAAGAAAGGTAGGTCTATGGTTTGAATTGTAAAATCTAAAAATTTAAAATGTAAAACATAGAGTATAAAATAAAATCATTTTCAATATTTTTCCTCATAGCTTAAGCAATTCTTTCTGTCTTTATGTCAACACCTGAATTGTAGTATATATTTATTTATTAGTATTATTATAGGGTTAATAGTCCTGGGTGTCCTAATATTCTCCTTTTTGTCTTAATCGTGACCCTTTACTAAAATCATCTTAACCCTCATCCCTCAACATTTAGTTTGCATCATAAGTTAATTCATTCATTCAATTTTTTAGGTAACAAATTTAAATCTTGGCGAGAGAGGCACAAGATCTTGACACGTGTCATTTTTTTTGGTTTATTTTTTGAAATTAAGTAAATGTTTTTTGAAATTTTTTTTAAAATCCAAAAAAATAATTTTAGAAGATCCGCAACTTAACGTGGCATGTCAAATTGAAATTATTTGATTCCGTCTAATCCTTAAAGTAGTGTGGACAACAAACTAGTAAATGACTAAAGAATAAATATTTAATGGAAATAAAACAGTGAAAACAGTAATTTAATTTGGGAACTTATGATAGAGCGTTAGGAGAGGAGGGCTTGGAGGTGCTGCCATCATGGGAGGAAGTGTCGCCATTCTCTGATGCTGGCACAGCCGATGAGGATGATTGTTTGGCTGGGGTAGGCCTCGTTTATGGGTCAAACTGGCCCTCTTTGGAGGAGGAGGACCATTTGACTACTCATCTTCCAATTGAATCAAATTAGGGTTTTGACTAGATTGATAATTCGAAGCAGCCAAAATTGAAAAACAAAATCTTAGAGGGAGAGGGATGGAGAGAGTTTAGGGCTTTGGCCCTCTCTCCCTCTTCCTTTGGAATTGATTTGGGTGAGGTTGAAGACAGAAAGAGAGAACAAAAGAAGAGTTGAAAAAATATTTTTTTCCACCTCAAGTGAGCTAATAAATGAAAAAATTGTGATGATGGACTCAATTTTCCTTTTTTGGGTTTTTTTTTTCGAAAATCATTTATTTAATTTCAAAAAATAAACAGAAAAAAATATTCTTGTCAAGGTCTTGTGCTTCTCTCCCTGATATTTAATGTCGTTATTTAAAAAATTGAATGGATTGACGAACTTAAGATGCAAACTAAACGTCGAGAGATGATGTTAAGATGATTTTTAGTAAAAAGACATGAACAAAAGTAGGAGGACCTTGAACCATTTACCCCCTTTTCCTTACCCATTTGTGGATGTCACCACATCATACTCGAAGCTTGAAGATAGTGCAATCTAATGCCGTCAGTTGCATGCGGTGTATATAATGCCATACCATTCCCTTGATCCGTTTCTACTAGTTCGCAAGGGGAATCCGATAACCCCTCAAATTGAAAGATAAATAGTACCAACCACCTTACAGGTAAGGAAAAAGAAACTTAATATAACAATAATCAGCAAAACCAAGAAATATGTCCAAAAAGTTCTTGTCACGAGCTGGACTCGAACCTGGACCTTTGGGATAAAAAAAACATATCCAGCGAACTATCTTTTATTCTGATCATGACTAAACTAAAAAAAATATAGAAAAAAATAGAAGAGAAAGAACTGGAAGTTGGCGCCTGCTTGCTTACCAATCGATCCTGGCAAAATAGTATCAACAGAACAAAGGGAGCCAACTGAGCAAGATAGAGAAAGACCCGTACCCTATCCCTCCAGCTGCCGGCTTGGCATCTTTAGTTATTATAAGCATAATATATGTCACTACAAACCAATATAAATATAACCATTCGATTCAACTGGAAGCAACAAATACCAAAGGAAAGGAGACTCGATCGTCTAAAGCTTTTAAATGGCAAACGAAGAGATCAAAATCTTGGGAGGATCATGGGCCATGGTTGGTGGAGATGGACCTTGTAGCTATTCACAAAATTCGACCTATCAGGTACACATTATTCTCCTGCTGCTATAGTACTGCAGATGTGATGAAATGGCTCTTCCCTCGTAATAAACGGTACCTTTGTCCTCTCTTTTTTCTATGTGATGATCAATAAAAGTATCTAGAGCATTAATTATAATTTTTCTGATCATATGCAAATTGCTCGGCCAAAAAAGCATGGACTGTTGACACCCTTTAGTGGTTAATACTCGAGATTTAAGTTAAAAGATCACAGGATCAAACTATAAATAAATGAAGGAAAACTTAAACTCAAGTTCAGAGATGACAGATGACAGATTTAGGCGAAACACAGAAGTACGATAACAGAGACGGGAATTGAACCTCAAATACATGCCAAATCCACACTTTATAAAAATCTTTTAACCATCAGGTCAATCATTCATCCTTATCTTGCCTTTTTTGAGAAACAAAAAGAATCCGGACTAAGATATGTGAGTTTATGGCCGCTTGATTAGCTTGGCTATTAATTATTGTTTGGCAGCAAGAAATGAAATGACCAAAATGGAAGTTTTATTTTCATTTTGTAAGCATTTTATTAAAATAAATGAAGTGAAAATTAAAATGATGAATGAGAATAAAAATAAAAATTAAACATAATTTTATTTTTATGGAGAAGTGTGGAAATACAAATTAGAAAGAAACATGAATTTTTTCTTTTCTTCAAAATAGTAATATATTATTTTTATTTATTATATAGTAACTATTTCTACCAACACCACTTTCAGTTCGACTAACTAACACCACTACCATAGTCCTTCGTGATAAAAAAAAAAAAATTCAAAAAATAATAAAAAATTATTATTATTATAATTTTGCCATCAATATTTTTTGTTTTACCACTATCATCATTTTTATTATATCATCATCGTGATTCTTCTTCTACTGTCATCTCCTACGATGGAGGTATCAATGTTTTTTAAAAAAAGATATATTATTACTTTTACTACACTATTGTTATATAGTATTGTTGTCGCTGCCTCCTCCTCTTTAACCATTGTCATTGTCACAATCACCTCTATTATTTTTACTATTATTATAGTTGATGAAATTATTTTTAATTATTATTCTTATTCATTTTGAAAATTAAATATTAAAAATTTTAAATTTCATTCTAATTTATTATTATTATTTTAAATATATTATGAAAATATAAATAGCATTTTGAATTCTAAATTTTCATTCCAAATTTTTTTATTTTTTGTAACCAATCCACAGCTTATGGTTCAAACATCAATGAGTTTTAGTGGTTACAAAAAGACCGAGCATAAATTAATGATTTTCATACTTCGAACAGCCCTATCTCTTAAGACTTGGATAGAAATATGATTCTGTTTGGCTTATCATGTATTGTGCACAAAATTTGACATATATGAGCTTATTGTTACAGAGGGAAATGGCAGATGCTGCAAAGGGGATGATCCATGGTGAAATCATAGAAAAGCTCGACTTCAACAACCCTCATTTTAATTCTTCAAACACATTTCGAATCGCAGATTTTGGTTGTTCTGCTGGACCCAATACATTCTTTTCAGTCGAGAACATCATAGAAGCTGTGGAGCATAAATACGATACCCAACTCCATAACCCTCCACCCTTAGAATTCCAAGTTTTCTTCAACGATGTAATAGCCAATGATTTCAACACTCTCTTCAATACCCTTCCTTCCTTCCAAAAATACTTTGCTGCTGGTGTGCCTGGTTCTTTTTACTGTCGTCTGTTCCCAAAATCCACTCTCCATCTTGCATACTCTTCCTATGCACTCCACTGGCTCTCTAAGGTTCCAAAGGAAGTTGTGGATAGCAAATCCCCAGCATGGAACAAGGGTAGCATATTGTGCAGTGGAACTTCAAAAGAAGTAGCAAAAGCATATTCAGCTCAGTTCAAGAATGATACCGATACCTTTCTGAATGCTAGAGCACGAGAGATTGCGGGTGGAGGATTGATGGTAATCATAATTGCTGGCCTTCCAGATGGGATCCTTATGTCTGAGACTGGGACCGGAATCTCGTATGATTTTTTGGGATCTTGCCTTGCAGACATGGCCAAATTGGTAAAATAATTCTCAGTCGTTTTGATTACTAAAAAGTCATCCCTGTCTTTTCTTTGTTTAAAAAAAAAAAAAAAATTCAACATTTCCATTACTAAATTTACTGAACTATATATTTTTTCTTGCAGGGAGTGGTTAGTAAAGAAAAGGTGGATTCATTTAACCTTCCTCTATACTATTCATCTGCTAAGGAATTGGAAGAAATCATAAGGAGCAATGGACATTTCTGTATCGAAAGAATGGACAAATTGAATCATCCCATGTCGCAGAAGAAGCCTAATGTTGAATTTCTTGTTTCGCAATGTAGAGCTACATTTCAGGGAGTCGTGGAAGACCACTTTGGAAGAGATCAGCATGTCGTAGAGAAAATATTCCAACATTTTGCCAAGAAGTATGCAGACAATTATTACTCCATTTTCAGTGGTGTAAGACACCAACATATCGATTTTTTCATCCTGCTCAAGCGAAACATTGATTGATGAGAGATATGCATCAATCGCCACTTTCATAATCTGGATTCCAATTTTCAAAGTTTGTGATTTCTATTATCATATATGTAAATATCCGACTTTCGAAAAACTCCTGAAAGTTAATATTTATATTTAATTATTCAAAATCTTTTTTGTTTGGAGAAGTGAGTTATTTATTAATTTCGAAATACTCACTTAGTATTAAAGAAATTGAGAATCTAAAATATACACTGCTTCAGGGATTTTAAGATATTAAAAAGATATCAATCATGCTAAAAGTATCATATCTAATTTAATTCTAAAATTTATCTCCTAAAAGTTTTATTTTTATCAAAATATTTCTGATTCCTGAAAAAAAAAAAAAAAAAAGAAGAAGAAGAAAGAAGGGCTAAACTAAGGTATTAGACTTCTTGGGGTGGGGGGGGGCCTAGACCCATCTTACTCCTTGTTCTACATGGTCCAGCCCATTACCTTTTCTCACGAGCTGGACTAAACCCAGCCCATTCTTCTTTTCTTCTTAACCGTAATCTTACAAACCCATCTCCTTCATCTTCAACCAGAATCGTAAGCTTCTTCTTCTCTCTCAACCCATCCTCCTTCATGCTAACACACGACATCAATCAGGCTTCCCCTCCCGCTGAACTAAACACTCTCGAACCTCAAATCTTTCTTCTCCTCTACCTCACGAACTCAAACGGGCAAAGGGAAGTATGGCAGTGGGTGGTTGTATGTTGATAGTGACTCATCGTTCATTCTTGAACCAATTTACATCTAAATCAAGGCGATTAGGGACGCAAATCAATGAAGGAAACAGAGAATCTTACCTGGGCATCCAATTGATGGAGCCTAGCTTGAAGGTGAACGGTTTGTAGTACATTGCCGTTTGTTTTGATTGGTGAGAATTGTTCTTGGGTGTCCGATCAATGAAGCCTAGTTTGAAGGTGAATGATTTAGATTGTCGTTGTTTTGATTGGTGAGAATTGTTCCAAAATCAAACTAGCAATCCAGTAGTTCCTCTTATCGAAACCCAGAAAAAGAAAACTAGAAAATCTTTGAAACCAACAAAGTCTAGAGAACTCTCCTCTGCCCAAAACCTAAAAAACTCAGAAAACCAAACCCAGAAAGTCCTCCCTCTCATCCCAGAAACCTAATACTCCTCCCAAAATTTCTTCTCCCATAAATCCTCCTCAATCATCCCCCCTCCAATCTCCTAATTCACTCTTATTTATACCCAAAAGTATTCCCTTCTCTGCCCTGGGATCAATCCCCATTAAATCTCAGCCTTTCCCATAACAAACAAACTGAAGCTCCTGCAGGTTTTTGGTTCTGCATGAATAGAGCCAGGGCCAAAATGCAGACTGTATGTTGTGTGTTGTATTGTGCAGGTGTTGTAGTTGGTGTGTGTGGCATTATTCTTAGCTGGTACAAATGCCAGCCAAGAATTTTGGCATTGATCGGGTTTGTCTCCTCTGGTAGAGGACGAGGGACAGTACTGGTTGGTGGAGGAGGGAAGAATGAACTGGAATGACTTGGACGACGGGTCATTCAGCCTTTAAAGTCAGTATATTTAAGGCTAAAAGGTCTAACTACTTCTAAATTTAAAGCCATTTGAGATTGAGTTTATGAAAAAAAAAAAAAAAAAAAAAAAAAACTTCAAACTTTTTTTCTTCGTATGTAACTCATATTTTTATTTTTTATTTTTTATTTTAAAAAATAACAATCACATAAATAATTTTATGATGAAAATTATTTAATGATATTTATGTGAAGTTTCTTAAAAAAAAGAAAATTGCATTCATTTCGAAATCATTTTTAGTTTTTCTATTTTTTAATATTCAAAAAATAAACAAATATAATTTTTAATTTTGAAAATTAAGGAATTTTGAAAATAATTTTTTAATATTCAGTTTGAAAGTTATTTTTATAGGTTAAATTTCTTCTGAAATTTTTCTTTTCTTTTCATTTTTTAAAACTTTCAAAAATAAAATTTTATTTTTTCAAGTCACTTATTGCTTTGAGAAATTGAAAATCATGTCAAATTAAATACATAAATACATGTCGCACATCATTGCGAGTCATTAAATTACTGTTAATAGTGTTTTAAAATGAGGATTCTAATTGTAAATGTAATTAATTATCAATTTCTTCATTAATCATATTACTAGTAAAAGGTTCCAATTAATTAAATTTTAATAATAGATGGACCTTCGGGTGCAGCTAACCCTAATTCCAAATAATATGAGCAATTCAACTACAATAAAATCTCATCGAAACAAGGACTAATAAATCTAAATGAGTTAATTATAATTTACCTCCTCAAAGTTTGTCGCAATTCCAATTTCTCCTCTTAAAATTTTGATTGTATCAATGTCTCTTTTAAGGTTTTTATATTGTATCAACTAATAAATTTTTTTAGCCCCTAAACTTTTGAAGTTTGTTCAAATAGAGATTTTTTTAGATAATTTGATGAGTTAAAATCTTCTATTTTTAATTAAAAAGTTCAAATACACATATAATTTATATTTAAAAATATAAAAGAAAATTATAAAATTAGTTGAATATATATCAAACTACCCCGACCATGGCCAATAAAAAAAGCTACCCTCCATATTCATATTCAATTTACCCACCTATTTATTACCTATATGATACCCTTTTTTTTTTTTTAATTAACAAGGTATCTTATTTTTTAAAATCTAAATAATATACATGGTATTCTCTGAAGTTTTTAATTGGAATAGAAGATGTGATCTCATCAAGTTATTTTAAGAGAATTCTATTTGATCATATTTCAAAAGTTTGGAGATTGAAAATATATTTTTATATTTGTTTGGGTAAGTTAAATTAAAAAAAAAAAAAAAAAAAAAAAACATTGATATAAACCTCATAATGAACCTTGATATGTAACTGAAACTTCAAATAAAACGTTAATATAATCAAAACTCAGATGTAAATTAAACTTAACCGAATCCAAATGGATAAACATCTGCTCCCCATAAATAAAGAATCTTAAACACTATGGCCTAAAATTACGTTGGAGCCTGTTTTCTAGTCGACTTCTTTCAAGTTACAATATGGTCTAGTTGTTTTCTATTTTGTTTCTCACATCTAAGGATTTAGCAAAGCATGTTATTATATATTTAAAGTCAATTCATGAGAAATGCGTCCAGCAGCTGGCAAGCACACAGAGACACTTGATCGAATGCTCCAATCTTGGATCGGTAAGCGGAAGTTTTTCTTTTCAGATGAAAGAGGGCTGCTCATTTTGTGGACAGCGGCATGAATCTCCTGTACTGTTCAAAGACACATAAAGACAAGAATATGCAATGCTTTGAATATATCATCTTTCCCGATGTCACCTGTTCAGGAATTTCTGAGCATGCACTCTTAATTGTTTAATAATCTTCTATCAAAAGGGTGCTTTCTAGGATCATACTAATTCAGTTTCTTTAATTGGACAGACTGGTCCATAATCAGATGACAACGAAGAAGACAATATTGTTCTTTTTAAGCTCAGTTATCCAATCATTTGATCAAGTTTATAATAAATTTTTTGGTGACCTAATTACAAGCTACGGTTTTGCTGAAACAATACGAGACAAAACAGATATCTACAATCGCTAGACATTTCATGACCAGGACAACAATTTGCAAATAGGCAGCGACAAAAATTTAAGGAATTAAAGAAACGAGGAAAAGTTGGGTATATATAGTCAGACGTCGAAAAGTGGGGGAAGGATTGGTGTACACTCTTTATAATAATAATAATAATAATAATAAAACTTATCTTCAATTTGTTTTACTGGGTGTTTTCGATTTTGAACTTATTAATATATACAAGTTGTTCGAATAGGTCAAGAGATGGTCCAATACATTGTGGAAGTTGAAAACACTAACTACATATCTACCATAGAAAGTTCAGTTTTATTCGACGTTAAGAGATATTTTTGAGTAAATTTATGTATTAACCATTAATCGATGCTAAGTTTTTTTAAATAATTTTAAAAATACATCTCCACACTAAATTAATATATATCACAACCGATTTGAAGAAACTACCTGAGAGCTTGGATAAGTCTACCTTAATTTTGATTAGTTTGCTTAATTCATTGGGAGTGACAATTAAATGCAGTTACCTCATTCTTTTTTTCTTCTCTGAAAAAAAGAAAAAGATTCATACGTATGGGGAAGTTGGCATTTGGCAATAAACCAGAACAAGTTTTTATCTGAATGAGTTGGCCTCCTGCAACTGAGATGAGACCTTGCCGACTGACCTGATCAATTAATAATGGCCAATGATTTGTATTATTCCAAAACGTTAAGCCATACCATTATCCCACAAGAGACTATAAAAAACATGGCTAATTGCTCAACAATTTACAGTACTATGTTTGATTTTTATGTCGAGCACAAGTGTAGATGGTTATAAATTATTAGTGAATATATTTCATATTTCATATTGAATAAATATAAAATTATAAAATAATAATAAGTCATTCATCACTATATTTAAATTTTTTGAATGAAATTTAAATTCAAAAATCACAATAAATAAATAATATATAAAATTTAGAATTAATCACCTAATACCTTAACCTATTCTACACAATGGAGATAATCCTTCTCTAATTAAAACCCTAAATCTCCACTTCCAAGCCTTAACCAAGAAGATGTGGTCGCAAAATAAGTTCAACGTAACAAAAAATATGTGTAATGCTTTATTCTTTTTAATTTCAATTATAGTATTTTCCGTACGTTGTTGTATTCTTTCCATGTCAGAATTCTTTTGTATAATTTGTTCTTCTCTCAGTTACATTTTGGCGAAGGATCAAATTGTTGGAGATATTTCTTTCTTTTTTCTTTGAAACTTCGGCTCTATTTCAGGAGCAAGATTGCTTTCCCATTCTTTTTGTTGGCTTAATAATCTATTTGCATATTAATATTTCAAAGGAAACTTTTTTCTCAAATTTGATCGGTAAATATTATGCTGAATAATATTATTAATCTCTACAATTTTGAGATCATTGACTCAAATGAACTAAGAGGGAAACAAGACAAAGGAAAATAGTCCCACCAAAACAAGTAAGCCCTACAGTACCAAAAATCAAACCTACAAGATCAATGAACTGATGAACCAACCCCACTTCTTTTTTTAGCATATAATTATATCCAGGTGCATAATTCCAGCCATTTTCACTTTTGCAGCACCTCTCAAATCTCTCCTTGATCTTAACTTCTTCAATCCTTTCTCTTAGAACACTCAAATTTGCATCAACAATGTTACTTGACTTCCCTGCAAATAAAATTGCATTAGATTAGCTCACACTTTTTATGGAAAAAAGAAAGAAAATTGAAAATAACATATAAATACCTTCTGTAAATCTTTGAGCTCATCTAAATGACTACTACATGGTTACTTACCTTCATCTCTAAATCTTTGAGCTCTAACTTGCATGGCCACCTGAGTAGTACGCTTGTAAGATGGTTTGATGTTCAAAGACAGGCAAGAAGGTAGTTTAAGTATAGAAGAAGCCATATCTTGTATCTTCAATTCCTAGATGTTGCTCAAACTAATAATATTTGCCCTTAACACAGCAATGTAACTAACTAGGGCTCCTTCTTTTGGCCTTTGTTTTCTAAAGAAAAAAAGGGGTGGGAAATAGAGAGATGATCTATAGTTTGATTACTGAACTTTCAACTCGAAAGAATAGAACTAGCAGAGGACCTTGAGCCCGCTGTGCTACATATATATATATAAGCATTTTTGTGCCTATTTCTGTGATAGAAAATATGGTTTTATGGTCAAACATAGCGTGTAGATAAGACAACAGAGCCTCCATTAAAATAAAATGTGCTTAGAATAGAGTATGATTAATCTAAACACGGTTAAATCATAGCTCGGCGGCCATAGAGACAAATTTATTAGGCCAGTAAAATCTTTTATAAAAAAAACATGGCAAATTGTAGAGAGTCAAAAGGAGCTTAAACTAGTAATTGAATTTTGGAGTTACCTGTTTGGACTATTGGCTGTTAGCCAAAGAGTACTGTCTGAATGCTTCAACATATGCATTTTCAATGCATCGATATTAATTAGAAATTATTTAATTATTAAAAAAAAAAAAAAAAAGGTGAAAAGAAGAAGAAGAAGATATGCTTGGGCAGTACTTAAGAATTCTAACTCTGATGAATTTGGGAAATTTGCGTCCCAACCAATCTCAAGGTTGACACTTGCAATGTTATCTAATCCAAGCCCATACATTGAACCGATCATGAAACCCTATGGTCTATTAATAAATATTTAAGACCATTAACTTGATATAAAATAGTAATTAAGCAATTTGTACTTTACCAAAGTAACAATTAATTGGTAAATATATTCATTTTTAACATAATTATGCCATATAAACTTTGTTGATTAATTTATTATAAGCATAAATAGGAAAGGTGCGATTATTATTATTATTTTTTTTTTGACTAAATTAGCAAATTAAACATTTGAGTCAATTGATAATTGATATATATTAGATATAATTAGTTTGGCAGTCAAAAATATTCACGAACCAATTTGTAAGCAATTAAGAATAAATTTTCTTTCGATATGATCTTAAAACTTCATCCACTACATTGGATTTGTGCATTTAAAACAATATAACAATATATATATATATAATTTTAGCTCAATTATGAAGTATAATGTCCAACTTTTACGTAGCAAGTATAATCCTCCTAAAAAAAAAAGGAAAAAGGTATATATAATTAGAATGCTAAACATAATTTTTAGCTTTAACCTATTTCTCAATCACATTAGGAAATTAAGGAAGTTGGTTTTGTAAAGGTTTGCTTATAACTGGTCTAGACAATGAAACCCGACCAGGTTTAATTAGAAAATGGGCTGGGTTTCTACAAGGTCATATAATTAGCCCTTTTTTTCTTTACCAAGTAAAACAAGCTAAGCGTAGCCACCTAAATTATGGGTTAAATTTGTTGTGATCAGCCCATCAAAGAAGTAAGAATTTTTTAAGGCTCCACAGTCACTATAAAACTGGTGAGAGACCAATGAGCCCAGACTGAACTTTGCTAATAGACTCACTACAAAACCCAAATTCAAGCAGAACAGCTCTTGAGTAGGCTAGACTTGTCCATTTATCGAATAGGACGAATTTAGAACTTGATTTTTTGCCCATATTTAGAGTTTGTTGTAGCTTGCAAGTAAATCGATCATTTTTCTTGTTTCATTCCTTTTATTCTTATTATCGCTATCCCATATTTGAGAAACTTCTAAAAAATTATAATTAAATAAAATTTATTATTTTATTTATTTATTAACGATATGAGTTAAATCATATTTTTGGAGTTACCATATATTATTAAAGGAACCAAGAAATCGTAAAAATGACACTAGTTCAAATATTCTAAAATAGGAAATTCTAAGAAACTAAGAAATAGTTGGTTATGCCTTTGAAAAAAATCAATAATCCAAAGGTACTCTTTCCGAGAAAAGGTATCATGACTCGCTTTAATTCTAAAAGTTTATCTTCTAAAAATTTATATTTTTGCCAAATGATTTCTAAGTCAACTTCCAAGTTTATTATCTAAGCAAAAAAAAAAAATTATTTTATTTGTGACATCATATTGAATCAATCGTCGGATTACATCACTTCGAAAGTTTCGTTAGTTCAATATCGGATCCTGTTTAAGTTTCGACATAACCAATATATCGGAGAACAATCTAATTATTAAAATATGATTGATTTGAATTAACATAAGTCCTTATTAGATAGGAGAATTGTTAATTTTCATTAAACATTTCTCCTTCTTTTTTTGTATTTTTTTTTTTTTTTGTTCTTTTCCTTTTTTTTTTAATCATTTTTCCTTTCATTTTCTTTTTTTTTTCTAAGGTCGGTAAAGAATCGTCATCAATCCTTAAAAATTAGAAAACTCGACGATCCACTCACCTATTAATCACCTAATCAAACTAACGAGTTATTTAAGCAATATTCAATATTAAATAAAATTAAAATTAAATTAGCAAAACCTACACACACACACACACACACACAGATATATATATATATATATATATATCCACAACCACAATTTTAGATTTAATTAATATTAAATACTAAGCTAAACTAAAATTTAAATGCCAAGCGAAATTAATAAACAAGCATTAAATCAAATAAATTGAAATAAATAAGAAAAACATTTCAAAAATTATAAAAAAAATTAAATCTAAACTAGAAATGAAAACATGAAGCATGCATAAAAATTTCAAATTTAATTGACTTAGGAAAACTAATTGAAATAAATCCTAACAAAAATTGAAGGTTATTGGGCTTTTGGGCCCATTAGATGGAGCCCACTAGGTAGGCCCAAACCCATACTTGCTCGGACCTAAACTACCCAAGTCTAGTAAGCCCAAGCAACCCGGCCTGGCTAAGCCCCTTTCTTTTCTTTTTTTTTCTTTTTTCTCGTAAGCTAGGCTAAGCCTAACCCACCTTCTTTTTCTCTCTCAATGCGGCCCCTTTTTTCTTTTTCTATTCAAGTAGCTCGAAAGTCTTTCCTTTTTTGTTTCTTTCTTTTATTTCATTTGGCCTTTCTTTCTTTTCTTTTCTTCCTCTTTCTCTCTCGCAAGAGCCCGTGTATAAAATTTTGGACCAAAACCCATTATAGAAGCTAAATTGGCATTTTCTATCCTCACTATCCTAGATGAACTAAAACTCTAAACTCAAATAACAAGAAAATGAATGGCAGAGCTAACTAGAAGTGAAAATGGAATTGAAAACTAAGCTAGGTTGCTCGAAAGGGATGGATGTTGTTTTGCAATGTTAATGATGCTTTAGGTGGTTTCTAGGAACCCAAGATACCTATTATTGGTGTTGAATGCCTTGAAAAGAGGCTCGAAACCTAGGAAAGATGCCTAGAATGCTTACCAAAAAAATTCCCCTAAAAATCCCAAAATCCTCTGTGTGTGTGTGTGTGTGTGTGTGTGTGTGTCTTGGTGTTTTGAATGAAATTGATGAGTTAGAATATATAGAATAAATGAAGTTTATGATTTGGGCTGAATGGGTGTGGCGATAGGTTGTCTTTGTAAAAATCCCCTGTTTCTTTAATCCTAACTTCAATCCCTTTCTTTCCCATTTGTTCTTTTCTAGTTTTCAAGACTATAGTGATTGAATCTTTATTTACTAAAGCTAAACTATTCTTACCCAAAATTGAGAAAAATCCTTTTCTTGTAAACCTTAATTCTTCTCTATAAAACCTAAAAATACTATTTCAAAACCCAAAAATTCAATCCCCCTCCTTTGTTTCTCTCGAATGTGCCCCATTTATACCTAAAATTCGACTCTTCTTTATTTTAGGGTCACCTTCAATCGATCGAACCATTCCCACTAGACATCAAAACCCCTAGGCTCCTACATTTTGTTCGATTTGTATAGAGCCAAAATAAAAACTATGCAATGTGTGTGTAGGTATGGCGCAAATACGGAGCGGGTGATGCGTTGTGGTAAACACAATGGTTAAAGCGTGATTCTTAGCTAATACGATTGCCGACCGAGAATTAGAGTACTATACATTGAGAAGTATGTCCTTAAGAAAGACGTTCAATAATACCGAGGACTTGATTTTGGATTGCAACGAAAGATAGGTCATTCGATCAAATGTGGTTCTATCATTTGCTCCTTATTTTCATTTTGGTCCCTACATGTTTCCATTTTCCACAATTATGTCCTTGTTTTCAATTCAATTTCACCTTTATTGGCTTTCAATTTAGACCTAATTGTTTTTAATTCTAGTCCCTGTTTCATTTAATTATACCCCTAATTGTTTTCAATTTGAGTTTAGATTGCTTTCAATTCGAGCTCTTATTTCATTCAATTATACCTATAATTAATTATTTCACGCAAAAGTTTTTTTTTTTTTTGTATTTTTGTGTTTCCATATATATATATATTGTATTTCCATTTCTTCCTTTTTTTTTTTTGAAAAATTGATGGTAATTATTTTTTAAAAAAAAATTCTTTCTTTTTTGCTCTAATAAAAGAGAATTCCTAAGATTAAATATAAAACTAATAGCAATAAAAATAGATTGAAATAAACATGAAAAATAAGACAAAATAAAATTAAAAATAAATAAACAAAAAATGATGAAAAATAATATAACATAAATGTAACCCAAATTTTGAGTTATGACAATTGCTCCCTCTTTATAAAGCTTACGGTGCAAATGCCAACTTAAGTGTGAACCTTAGAATGAGTTTGCTTAATGAGTTTGTAAAGAAGAAGTAAATCACGTAGCAAAAAATGGTCCGATTATCCTAAGTGACTCATCGTTAAAAGTAAAATGAGATAACCATGTTCAAATGGGATCAAAGAAATGAGCATTTGATAAGTGATATGATCGAAAAAGATATATGAACCACTTTGGGTGATCTTTTTCATTTTTTATAAAGCAAGATAGGAGAAACAAACATTTAATAAGTTATCCAATCGGAAAAGATATATGAACCACTTTTAGTGATCTTTCTTTTCTTT